AATGCAGGCTCAAGTATGGTGTAAACGATATAATTTATTAGAGGCTATACAAAAATATAAACACAATATAAACGAAACCAAACCTCCAACTGATAACGTAAAGTACAAGCACACAGACAAGGGTAGTCAGGGCTGGTGAGGTGGAGTGGTCAGGCAGGCCGGGTCAGGAACCATCGAGCAGACAAGGTACAAAGGAGCAGGCAGAAGAGTGGTCAGGAATAGCCGAGGTCAGTGCAGGCAGAGTTCTATCAATGTCAGGAGTCAGGCAGAGGGATCAGGAAGGCAGGCAGGCGACAGGATCAGGTTCAGGCACAGGGGCTCATGGGAACAATACACCAAGGTCCTGATTGCAGGCCTGGTCCTGCTTAAATACACCTCCTGCAATCAGCCTCAGGTGATGGCTTGACTGCAGAAGTGAGATTCTGGCTGCTGAGAGCACCCGCTGGCCAGCACTGGTACTGCAGCCACAAGGCAGGTGAGTCCCACCACCAGTGGCGAGTCCATTCCTGACAGTGTCCAGTTATACAAACCCTGATGGGCTAAAGCCTTGGCTGGTTCCAAACATTTGTGCACTGAATTCCGTCCTTGGCTACTGGGTGTAGCTACTGTATGAGCCATGCCTTTAGCACGCTAAGGTAGAGGTCATACCTTTAGCAGACTAGGGAAGAGTTCACAGTGCAGAGTAGGCAAATGTCATATAAGCAGACCAAATAACTTAATTTCAGAATACAGAGAAGTGTGATGTCACATGTTACTTGTGGCTTCAGGAATAATCCAACTAAACTACACTTGAGTACAATTGTACTATAATATACCTGCTAATGGCCAATCACTATGAATCTCATCTCAAGTCCCAGTATATTTATGTGATACTCAAGCAATGCCCTTTGAACTCCGTTATAGCAAAAACCAACAAACAGAACAAAAAAGACTGTATATGAGGACTGATAGATTCTAGGACTGTAATGAGGAGTTCATGTGAGATGTAGAGATACTATAGAATGGATACACAACTGTTTCTTAAACCTGGTTTTACTTTTGTTGTAGTTGGCAATAGTTAAATGACAATAAGGGAGCTTCACTACATTTATATAAAACAGTTATTCAATGTTGGAAGATAAAAAAAAATGCTGGAAATTCACTTAAACACACAAAAATGCTGTAAGGGAGCTTTAATATTCTATATCAAACATTTAAAAAAAAAATGTTCTCCCTGCGCAATTTCAAAATGTTCTCCATATCCCCCTCTTTTTTTTTATTTCACCATAGCCAAACCAAACAACTTAAGCACCCAGGAAGAAAAATTGTGCTAAAAGGATAGACAGAAAAAAAGAGCAAAAAAAAAAACAAAAAAAAAAAACCCCAAAAAAAGTACAGATTTAATGCTCACTCAGCATGACAATTATCATACACCATTCTCATTAACTTGTTAGAGAGCATTGAATCTGTATTTGGTCTCCAAAACAAAATCCAAACTGCATTACAAAAAAAAAAAGCATTGCTGTTATACAGTGACTTGGCACAAGCCACTTCTAAATTGATCCATTTTAAAACTCACTTTGTAAGGCAGGGACACAAAAAAAAAATACAAAAAGTAGAGAGAGGAAAAAAAAACTTTTATTTTAGAGTTTTAGTTCATCCCGACTGTCATTAATTAACTGAATGCTTGGAACTGACTTCCAGCAGAGGTAATTAGTCTGTCAACATTAAGTTGATTTAGAAAAGCTTGGGGACACACATATGTCTATACTCTGACAAAAAGGTTATACAACCAAAGAAAAAAATTCAAGACAACCCCGATTCGGAGGGTTTTTAAGTACCTAAATTCTAGAACAACATGTAAACCTGTAGTATTTATACACATTAAAAAAAACATGAGTCTATTTGGAAGAGAAAAAAAAAAAAAACACAAATATACTAAATCGAGAAAATACGATCAAGTGCAAAATAACATTTTATCATATATTTCCCAGTGTCAGAGTGAATGAAAACTTCACTCTGAGCCACAGGAAAGAAATGGAAAAAAATAAAATTCCTACATTTTCTGAGTTATTGTGATTAAGATGTTATATCTGTGCACAGATTCGATAGCAGATAAGATTAAAAAAAAAAAAAAAAAAGTGCATGTGCGTAAAAGTGATCACATTTCTAATTGATGGCCATCAAACAATGGTGTGTTCACATCCCTGAAAAAAAGTATTTGTTTTACACAGATATAGACAGTTCATACACATCCAATACATCACACAGGCACACTCATTACTTGAAATCATCCATTGAATCAAATACTTTATGGTATTACCATGTATTTCTTGTAAACAGGAGAAAAAAAGGAAAGAAGATAATCCCCGTGTTTTGCATCCCTAACCTCATATACTTTACCTTTGTTGGGTATGTGTATTTATGTATATAGACATCTATATGCATACACCTATCTTTATATGTAAAACATCTCTTTCATGAACTCACTGAACCTGAAAAATATACCTTAAAAACAAAAGTTATTACTTTTTTCCTTTAACACACAAAGAAAGTGAACAATACAACATTGTTACATTTATATTAGTATATGGTCACTGACATTCACACTTTCTATATAACTTATATTCCTTTTTGGTTCCCAATGAGCAAGTTACTCCCTCCTTATTTTTCCAATTCGAGGATTCAGTAAAATCTCTTTTAAAAGTTTAGAATTCCTTCACAAACTCATCTCGTTCCAGTTTAATTTGCTTAATTCCAGCCTGTAAAGATTCATTCTTGATCGTAATCGTTGGGAATGGGATGGATAATCTCGACTTTTTGTAGTTATTACACCTGGGCCATTTTTCCCCAGCGTGGAGAGTACACCTCAATATTACACCTTTGTTCTATATTGATTTAGCTTTACAATCTTTCAACAGAAGATGCCAAACAAAATCTTGCAATGTGGCCAAATAATCCACATTTTATCTTTTCTAAAGTATTGAAATGCTGCTTAGCACATGGCTTGGTTTTAGGTTGGGAATATGCATTGGCTGAAACCTGATTAGCAACTATGTCTGGCTGCTTAATAGATCCTGGGGTATTCCTGAAAGTGCTCTGACCTTCCAATGATTCATGCATATTACCATATACACAGGATGTAGATAATGTGCTGCTGAATTTAGAAATGCCCAAATGAGCCACATTATTTTCTATTGCATGTGAACAGTGAACAAACTGTTCCTCCTTGGAAGATGCAAACAACTGCTTAACTTTGCTCTCTGCATCCTTCAACCTTTGTGCAAGCTGCTTCATTTCTCCATGCAATCTTTCATTCTCCATTGTTAGCTGGTGGTGGCTAGCATCAGAATTTGTCATAGAAACTTTTAAATTGTGCCTTAAACAAAAAATCTAAACTAAAATCAAGTAATAAGTGTAAGGTTTTTCACTGAACCAACAAAGACAACACTCTTTCATTGCCTTTCTAATAAAGCCTATATGTGCCAACACTAAAGCAAAAACAAATAATACATGAAGCTTGGTAAGCCCAAAAGTAACAAACAAAAACAAAATGGTCCCGCTCCATATATCCTCCCCATTAAATTGACCGGCTTTTAATGGTTTTTCTAATATACTACTTCAGTATAATTGCAGGATATTTATAAAACAAAAATTATGTGGAGTATCCTCCCTCTTTTTAGAGTTCTGCTCATACCCACTAAAAATGCACAAGGTACCTGTTTTACCTAGATAGGTTTGCTGTGACCTCCAAACTACCAGCAAACTGCCTCAGTTTAAGCCACCCCAATAACCTTAACCTGCATTATGCAAATCTCGGGGTTGTTGTATTAAATACTCTCAGTCTCGGGGGTCATGCCGTGGTCGCCAATTATGTTGACCAAATCTATAGATTATGAAATATAATATTTCTCTGATATGATTTGGTAAATGAAGAGTTCTTACCCACAAGTGAAAGGTTTAACACAACAACCAAAATTTATTGGTGATAGAAAGGAGGTCTAAACTTACACAAAAACAATCTATCTAGTTACATAAAAGAAACATTATTAAGAAAGCTCGAACATATTACAAAATAAACAGTGAGACAGAAAAGTCTTCAGACAAACATTCAGCTACAAGTGCTAAGGATATATTCCATAATTACCATGGAACTGGATGTAAAAGTTCCATTCCCTTCCTCTGGTGTTTCCAAAGAGAACCTCCCCTCTCTCTCTCTATATATATATATATATATCTCCCCCCCCCCCTCTATCCCTCTCCCCCCCCCTCTCTCTCCCCCCCTCTCTTTCTCCCTCCATCCCTCTCTCTCCCTCTCCCTCTCCCCTTCTCCTCTCCCCTTCTCTCCCCCATCTCTCCTCCCTCCCCCCTCCTCCCCCCTCTCTCTCCCTCCCTCCTTCCCCCTCTCTCCCCCCTCCCTCTCTCCACCCCCTCGCGCTACCCCCTATCTCTCTCCCCTCTCCCTCCCCCCTCTCTCTATCTCCCCTCACTACCCCCCTCTCCCTCCTCCCTCTCTCTCTCCCCATCCCCCTCTCTCCCTCTCTCTCCCCGTCTCTCCCCCCCTCTCTCCTGTCTCTCTCTCCTCCCTCCCCCCCCCCCCCCCCCCTCTCTCTCCTCCACCCCCTCTCTCCCTCCCCCCTCTCTACCCCCTATCTCTCTCCCTCTCCCCCCTCTCTCCCCCCTCTCTCTATCTCCCTCACTACCCCCTCTCTCTCCCCTCTCTCTCCCCATCCCTCTCTCTATCTCTCTCTCTCCCCCCCCTCCCCCCCCCTCTCTCTCTCCCATCTCTCTCTCCCTCCCTCCCTCCATCCCCCCCCTCCCTCTCTATCTCCCTCCACCCCCCTCTCTCTCCCCTCCCCCCACTCTACCCCCCCTCTCTCCATCTCCCGCAGCGCAGCGATCGGCTGTGTGCTGTGTCCCTCGGACAGAGCAGATCACCGATCCACTGAAAGAGCCGAAGATGTTGGCTCGGTCATGTGATCAGCTGTGTCCAATCACAGCTGATCGCATGTAAACAGGGAAATGCTGGTCATTGGCATTTCTCTCCTCAAGAGCTGTCACGGTGACAGCTCGTGAGGAGAGTAGAGCCAGTATCGGCATTCCTCAGAGGGGACATGTGCACTGATCATCAGGGCACTGATTATATCAGTGTGCCCTGATAATCAGTGTAGCCCCAGCAGTGCCACCTGTCAGTGTCCATCAGTGCCAGCTCTCAGTGCTCATCCATGCCACCTGCCAGTGCCACATCAATGCCACATATCAGTGCCTACCAGTGCACATCAATGCCACATATCAGTGCCCATCTGAGCTGCCTTTCAGTGTCACCTATCAGTTCTGCCAATCAGTTCCACCTGTCAGTGCCGCCTATCAGTGCCAGTCAGTGCCGCCTATCAGTGTGCATCAGTGCCTCCTATCAGTGCCCGTCAGTGCTGCCCATCAGTGCCGCCTAATCAGTAACAGTGCCAGTCAGTGTCACCTATTAATGCCACCTATCAGTGCCATATATCAGTGCTGCCTTTCAGTGGCCATCAGTGATGCATGTCAATGCCCATCAGTGCCACCTACCAGTGCCTCCTCATCAGTGTCCATCAGTGCCACCTATCAGTGTCCATCAGTGCAGCCTATCAGTGCCCATCACTGCAGCCTCATTAGCGCACATCAGTGAAGGAAAAAAATCACTTATTTACAAACTTTTATAACATAAACTAAGAAAAAACATTTTCAAAATTTACAGTGGTTTTTTGGTTTGTTTAAGAAAAAAGAAAAAATCCAGAGGTGATTAAATACCACCAAAATAAAGCTCTATCTGTCACAAAAAAATTATAAAAATTTCAATATGGGTACAGTGTTGCATGACCACGCAATTGTCATTCAAAGTGTGACAGCGCTGAAAGCTGAAAATTTGCCTGGGAAGGAAGGGGGGTATAAGTGCCTTGTAGGCTAGTGGTTAATGAAGATTTCACATAAACTCATTATCTAACAGTGGGAGGGCTTTGATGAGATACCTGAGGTCTAAACAGACCCTTGATGTCTCTTTTTTGAGACATAAAAAAGGGCTGAAGAGATCCCTTCTCTGTAGCCTCACTGCATATGAATGAATAGAATTCTCTGCATAGAGGCTCCTATTCATTCATAAAGTGGAATGTAGTAAATACTGTTTACAATGCTACAGTGGTGAATGAACACAGGAGTAATTGGTACCAATCGCTCACTATGTTTGTTCAGGAAAGGAAGGTGGATGTATTATTATTTGTTTAGCCTCTGTGGCTGTTCTGCAGCTTTTTAAGGAGGGAAGGCAGCTGCAGGAAAGCCACAGCTACAGATGATCAGTGTTGGTGCGGGTGGGTTGAGAGTGAATAATACCATGGGATTGGTGCAGAGGAAGGGGGAAATAAGAGTGGAGGGAGGGCCTGCAGTTTAGCTGACTGCACTAAAGGGGGAAGTAGGGGGAGAAACGTCAGTGGAACGGCAGTGGTGGTGGCAGTGGCAGTGGCAGTGGCAGCGGGGCATAGCATATTTTATGAACAGTTTTGCTATAAGCTCATGGTGACTGAGGTGAATGGAGGAATGTCAGGTCTGTACAGCAGATGGACCTGGCCAGCTGGAAGAGGTGCTGTAGGTCCGTGCGCCATACATACCTGCCAGCGAAAGGGTTACTAGGCAAATGCATTTCAATGTTTCAATGATTGGTGCTGTTACCAAAGCCGTATTAACATATTTTGTGTATCTAACTCATGATGATGATGTGCATGCATTCCTACATGTAGAGGAAGATGGAGATGTGAACAAGACATCCCTAATATCTCTAGCTGTATGCACCTTAAAGTGTTAGTAAAGTCTGCTTTTTTTTTTTTATACCCACAGGTAAGCCTATAATAAGTCTTACCTTCAGGTACAGTAAATATCTCCTAAAAAAGTGCACTGGTTAGAAGATATTTACTTTAGTATCAGCCAGTGACACCACCAGTGCATGTGCACTGCATTCTGAATGGACAATGCCATCCAGTCACAGCTCTGTGCTGTGGCTGTGACTCCCATGCACATGTGCAGGAGTGACATCATTGTGGCCCGGCCATTCAAACAGGGAAACCTAGATGGAAGACCGGGTGAAGATGGAAGCCCAAGCAACGGTGACAGCGTGCTTCTGGAGGGCTTCATTTTAAGGTAAGTCTGTCATAATGTGCTAGTATGCAGTGCTTACCAGTACATCATGACATAATACTGCAGGGTCCCAATTTTTTTTTTGCTACCAGTTTAAAGCATTACATCATCCAAACCACAATACAATCACAAAAGTCAGGTTTTAATAATTTGTTTATAACAGCTTAGAAACACATTCTGTGTGCTTACAAGATGATCAGGCTGCCAAAATGTTGGTGGAATAGAAAGCCATAGGAAAAAAATTTTTAGTGTCCCTGCTGTGAACTTTGAGTATAAATTTCACCACATACAGTTACAGAGGTGAATTAGGGTTTGGTTTGTTGTGCTTTTAGGGCAAGGCACGCTGAATGCATGGCCCTTGGTTTGTGCTGGGAGACACAGTATGGACACACTAATCCCAGTGCATCACAACATTAACTTTTTATCACAGAACTTTTATGAAAAGTCATGGGTGACATTTCAATACAGTTCTATTCACTGCAGTGGCATTGTAATGTGTTGGTTTGTGTCGCAACCCTCTGCACTGAAACTATTGCATGCATTACTGTATTTATTGAACATCACTGCAATACTGTGGTGCAAACTGTCAGCCTAAGAACTTAGGCATTTTGCCTTGTCTAAGCATTGGAGCTGCACTGGAAATAAATGCCAGCACAGCTCCAATATATCTGGTGTGAATTAGCCTTTACTGCTTTACTGTTTGTTCAGTAAAGTACTTTAATAAGCATAGCATACAGTATAAGGAGACGTTAATTTTTAATTTACATTTTATAGACATGAATTACTATATAATGCTAACTGCATATATCTATGCAATCTATCTGCTATCTATCTATCTATCTATCTATCTGTCTGTCTGTCTGTCTGTCTGTCTGTCTGTCTGTCTGTCTATCTATCTATCTATCTATCTATCTATCTATCTATCTATATCTACATTAATATATATACTGCTAAAAGAATTAAAGAAACACTTTTTAATCAGAGTATCGCATCAAGTCAAATAAACTCTGGGGATATTACTCTTGAGTTAAGTAGGACAGGGGGTTGTTAATCAGTTTCAGCTGCTTTAAATTAACAACAGGGCACTAGATAGGCAACAATGAGACTACCCCCAAAACAGGAAACAAGAAACAGGAATGGTTTTACAGGCGGAGGCCACTGACATTGTTTTCCCTGCTCACCTTTTCTGATTTTCACTAGTGTTGCATTTGGGTAGGGTCAGTGTCAATACTGGTAGCATGAGGCAATACATGGACCCTACAGAGGTTGCACAAGCAGTCCAACTGTTCCAGGATGGCACATCAATAAGTGCCATTGCTCTGTCTCCCAGCACAGCATGGAAGAGATTCCTGGAGACAGGCAGTTACTCTTGGAGAGCTGGACAAGGCCTTAGAAGGTCCTAAAACCATCAGCAGGACTGGTATATGCTCCTTTGTGCAAGGAAGAACAGGATGAGCACTGCCAGAGCCCTACAAAATGACCTCCAGCAGGCCACTGGTGTGAATGTCTCTAACCAAACAATTAGAAACAGACTTCATGAGGGTGGCCTGAGGATCCGCCTTCCTCTAGTGGGCCTTGTGCTCACTGCCCAGCACCATAGAGCTCGATTGGCATTTGCCATTGAGCAGCAGAATTGACAGGTCCTCCACTGGCATCCGGTGCTTTTCACAGATGAGAGCAGGTTCACTCTGAGCACATGTGACAGACGTGACAGGGTCTGGAGAAGCCGTGGAAAACATCCTGCCTTTAACATTGTTCAGCATGACTGTTTTGGTGGTGGGTCAGTGATGGTCTGTGGAGGCATATCCATGGAGAGGTGCACAGAGCTCAACAGGCGAGAGAATGACACCTTCACTGCGATTAGGTATCAGAATGAAATCCTTGGCCCATTTTCAGACCCTACGCTGGTGTAGTGGGTCCTGGGTTCCTCCTGGTGCACGACAATGTCCGGTCTCATGTGGTGAGAGTATGCAGGCAGTTCCTGGAAGATGAAGGAATTGATACCACTGAATGGCCTCCAAGCTCGCCTGACCTAAATATAATAGAACACCTCTGGGATATCATGTTTCAGTCCATCCGATGCCGTCAGGTTGCACCTCAGACTGTCCAGGAGCTCGGTGATTCCCTGGTCCAGATCTGGGAGGAAATGCCCCAGGACACAATCCATCATCTCATTAGGAGCACACCCTGACATTGTCAGGCATGCATACAAGCACGTGGGGGCCATACAAACTACTGAGTACCATTTTGAGTTACTGCAATGAAATTTCAACAAAATGGACTATTCTGCTACATCATTTTTTCACTTTGATTTGCAGGATGTCTTTGAATTCAGCCCTCTGTAGGTTATTAATTTTCATTTCCATGAAACGATGGGGCATCCTTACATTCCTAACACATTACCCTGTCTATATCAGTATAGATATCCAGCATGATAGTTTTGAGATCTGATGCGTTTTTCAAAAGATCTGTGCGTTTTTTTTGAGCAGTGTATATATATATATATATATATATATATATATATATACCCACCAACTGACTGGATATGAAAATATACAATATATTATATATATATAGAAAAAAAAAATCTGTTAGTTGTCACCATAACAAAAATGGGAATTGAAAAATAATACTATATCTACAATAACACTTTATATTACCTTTAATACATATTTTTGTTATCTTCTATAACAGTTTTTCCAAGGACCCAGGTGCTTTTTAATGGAATGCTTCACTTCTTTATTTCTTAAGCAGTATACTAGAGGATTAATTATAGGTATTACCACAGTGTAAAAAACTGCAACTACTCGATTAAGAGTAAAAGCAAAGCTTACTTTTGGTCTAACATACATAGACATAGCAGTACTATAAAAAAATAAGCACAACAATTAGGTGGGAAGAACAGGTAGAAAAGGTTTTCCTTCTATTGTTAATAGGTATATGTAAGAGTTTTGAAAAAATATATAAATAGGAAATAAAAGACATTGATAAAGAAATGAATGTCACTAGAAAAGCACACACAAAATCATACACATCAATTAGGTATGTGTCTGCACAAGACAGATGAATTAGGGGGGAAGAGTCGCAAAAGAAATGGTCAATAATATGACCTCCACAAAATGGAAGTTGGGAGATTAAGACAGTATTTGGGAAAGTGGTCACAAAGCCTCCAATAACTGTGAGTATACTTAGACTGTAGCATGTGGTATTATTCATCAGGGTTGTGTAGCGCAGTGGATGACAGATGGCCAAGTAGCGGTCATACGCCATGACACCCAATAAAAGGAGTTCTGTGGATCCCAAGAAGAAGAAGAAAATCAA